TTATGTTATCAATATTATTATGTTTATTATAATTAAAAGTATTTATTTTAAAAATAGTATTATTTGTATTATAGATATTATTATTTTTATTACAATTGAAAGTATTAATATTAAAAATAGTATTATTTATCTTGTAACTATTATTATCTTTATTATAATTGAAAACATTAATATTAAAAATAGTATTATTTATCTTGTAACTATTATTATCTTTATTATAATTGAAAACATTAATATTAAAAATAGTATTATTTATCTTGTAACTATTATTATCTTTATTATAATTGAAAACATTAATATTAAAAATAGTATTATTTGTGTTATAAATATTATTATTTTTATTATTATTAATAATAAAATAATTAATAAATTCGAAAAATTATTATTATTATTATTGTTGTTGTTGTTGTTGTTAAATTTAAAAATACTATTACTATTGAAGAAAAACCATTATTTTTTTAAAAGATTAAAAAATATAATTCAAAGTATTCATGTAAAAAATATAATTATTTTTTTATAATTCAAAGTATTCATATAAAAAATATTATAATTAGTGTTATAAATATTATTGTTTTAATTATAATTCTAAATATTTATATTAAAAATTTAATTATTTGTATTATAAATATTTTTGGGTTTCTAAATATGATTATTATTTTTATAAATATTATTTTTTTATTATAATTCTCTTGAGTGTTCTAACGCAGAACCAATTGGCTTTGGTCCTGCATTTGTACCCAATTTTGTTTGGAGAGGCATTAGGACCTAATGCTTTTAAATTTTGTGGAGCATTCATTTCACTTGGGTGCGTGCCTGGACCCAATGCTCTTGGGTCTTATGTCTGAAGCCAATTAACTTGGGTTCCACCGCAAGACCCAATGTTCTTGAGTTTTGGATTTCTAAATATAATTATTTATGTTATTAATATTATTATATTTATTATAATTAAAAGTATTTATTTTAAAAATAGTATTATTTCTCTTATAAATATTATTATTATTTCTCTTATAAATATTTTTATTTTTATTATAATTCTCTTAGGTGCTTCAGACACAAAATCAATCAGTTTTGGGTCCTGTTTCAAGATCCAATTTTCTAACCAATGCTCTTGAGTTCTGACCCAATGCTATTGGGTCTTGTGGCAAAATCCAATGTTCTTGGGTCATGAGTTTCTAAATATAATTATTTATGTTATCAATATTATTATGTTTATTATAATTAAAAGTATTTATTTTAAAAATAGTATTATTTATGTTATAAATATTATTATTTTTATTATAATTTTCTTAGGTGCTCCAGACACAGAACCAATTGGCATTGAGTTCGGCATCAAGACCCAATGCTCCTATGTCCTCTATCAGGACCTATTTTGCTTGGATCTTGGTCCTGACCTATTTTGCTTGGATCTTGGTCCTGCCTTAGGATTCAATGCTTATGAATCTTGAGTTTCTAAATACAATTATTTTTGTTATCAATATTATTATATTTATTATAATTCAAAAGTATTTATTTTAAAAATAGTATTATTTTTATTATAAATATTATTATTTTTATTATAGTTAAAAATATTATTATAAAAAAATTATTATTTGTGTTATAAATATTATTATTTTTATTGTAATCTTAATATTAAAAATAATATTATTTGTGTTATAAATATTATTTTTATTATAATTAATATTAATAATAAAATAATTAATAAATTTTAAAAAAAATTATTAATATTGAAAAACAACTATAGATTTGATTTGAATTATAAAATTAAAAATTATTATTATTATTATTAAATTTTAAAAAACTATTATTACTATCAAATAAAAACCATAATTTTTTTTAGAAGATTAAAAACATAAAAATTTTGATAAATATTATAAATATTATTATTGAATTTTATATTACAATAAGACTCAATACTCCTACATCCAACATCGCAACTAGAATCAATGCTTTTTGATTTTAACTTTTCATAATATTTTATAAGAAAAAATTGTGATTTAGAGCGAGTCATTTAAGTAGTATTTGACACCGTGGTCGGAAAGTATTTTTTAAAAATAATTTTTTTTATTTTAAATTAATATGTTTTTAAATTATTTTAATGTGCTGGTGTTAAAAATAATTTTTTAAAATAAAAAAAATATTATTTTAATATATTTTAGAATAATAAATATTCTAAAAAAATAATCGTTACCATATTTTTAGATACCGTTTAATATATATATATATATATATAAAGCAGCCGCTAAAAAACACTTCGCAGATAATTATAGAGATGTGTGAGGTATTACAACAATCAGTGGATTCACTTTTTGTCTGGTGACTTGAAAATCTTATTGAAGTCGAGCTATATATAACCGTACACCTCCAAAAGGTAATTAATACTCAATGGTTAATTCTTATGGTCTCTCTCAGAGTTTTGATTTTGATTTTTTTGGGTTTCCTGATTTTGAAACAGTTGGCTGTCTTAAAAAAAAGAGTTGAAATTCAATCTATTTCAGTAGTATATTAGCCTCCTTATACGTATTACGCTATGGATAAGAATTCAAGCTATGCTTTTAACGTATAAAGAGAAGGCATTCGTGTTATGAATGTTTTTTCATAGGATCATTAAATTTATTAATTCATAAATAATAAAATAATCTATGTGTTTAACTCAATGAATTTAAAGATATATCAACAGGTAAATCATAAAAAAGAATTATGAGTGATAATTAAAAACTGAATTAGAAAATTGATAAAAGATAAATAAACATGCAAATATTTTATCTTGTTTATAATTTTCATTTTATATATTTTGAAAGTTTATACTAGTTGATAAGTACATATAATTTTTATTTTCATGAATATATCATGGAAATATAACTTATTTATCTCAAAGTTAATAAAATATAATGATAAATTATAAATATTTTTATTTTTATTTATTTAAAAAAAAAAACAGACAACTTGTAGTTTGTTTGTCCAATTTCCTACCACTAAAGATGTGGTCAAAAAATCAAGTTGGGGTTTTTTGAATTTACTTTCACTTAAAAACTTATATTAAACATCCTTATAATGTTAATAAATCAATTCTTCAACTCAAAACACATTTAAATTGATTCTAAAACACAAAATCATAAAAATTATCTTATAATCCTGATTTACTTTTTCATTAAAATAATAATTTTTTTTTTAATAAAACTCATCTTATTAAATAAAAATTATTAATAATAAAAATAATTTTTTTATCATTAAAATATGTTAGACATAAGATTTCTCTCTGCCTCACTATTCTTGTGCGAGCTTCTATTTCTACTCTCAAATCAAAGAACAAATAAATAAATAAAAATAAAGAGGTTTAATACATAAACTAAGATTCTAAAAGGTACAGCGACTTGAAACAAAATCAATATAAAATATAGAGACTAAATATAACTTTTTTCACATGAATTTGAGATTGGCCACCTAGGTTGTTTTTATCTCTCATTTTTGTTTTTTTAATTATGTCTTAATATTACAAATTAAAACATATCTCCTTAAATTAACCTAAAATCTTATAAAAACTTTCATATCTAAGATAAATGAAAAGAACTTGAACCATTAACTATAAAAAATACAGAATATAAAAGGATTAAATAAAAAAATTGATAAAAAAAATAAAATAAACAATCAAATGAATTGCGGGAGCGTGTATAACCTTGTTACGAAAAAACTAAAGGAGCTCAATCATTTAGTGTAGATTATGAGAAAATTCACAATGAACTTACACTATATAATTACTTTTTTGTCTTTCTCTATACAAAGTTTTTGCCTTGTTTGTAGGGGTAACATAGTATTTTTCATGAAACACAGGTTATTTGCAAATTAATTAAGAACAATTTAATAGTTTATATATTTTTTTTTTACATGGTCGAATTACATAGACGGCAACACAAAAATGAAAGGCTAAGAGGACTTTTATGTAATTTTCTTTATAAATAGTACAATTAATAAAATTAAAGGATGAGTCAAAGGGTATTTTAATATTTTCCCATCATCTTTACATTAGTCTCAATTTGGAATAGGGGTAAATTAGTATTTTCACAGAAATAATAACAAAAAAAAAAAATTATTAATGCATATGGGACATATGTCATCGAGTGGATGTCACCCATACCTTTCGGGGGCTCGTGCGACATTGTTTAGTGACCAAAATTTTCCATCTACTATGTCATTTGAAATGTCAAGTGGAGGCAGAGCTTATAAGGTGGGGCGAGTTACTTAAATCACGAAGGTTTGCATGCCTGTTGGTTTTTTTCTTCCACTTATATTTTTTCTCTCCATTCTTTATAATTCATCCCAGGTTAGCTAAAAATCATGATGTCCTCCTATTTATTTTGTCTTTTAATTTTGATTATTTTTTTTATTGGTAGTTTTTTGCTTTGGATTTTTTTATTTTATTCTTTTTCATTTTTTTTTCTAGAATGAGTCATCACTATTTTTTTTTTATCATTTTTATCATTTGTTTTTTTTTTCAACTATTCCCTCCACATTTTATTTCATTTTTTTTTTGTACTTTCCATCTTCTAGTGTTATCCCGAACCATACACTAGTTAAGTCAACCCGAGTTTTCTCAAATTATTATTATTTTAATATTTTTTATGTTAGAAAACAATTAACTTGCTCTATTATAACATAGTGTGAGCAAAATGATTTAGTTTGCTATAGTAAAACCTCGTTCGATATTGTAATAACGATTATTTTTTAAAGTATTTTTTTTATAGATATATTAAAATAATATTTTTTTATTTTTTAAAATTTATTTTTGATATTAACGTTTCAAGATTTGAAAATACAAAAAAAAATTTAAAAAAATAAAAATTTTTCAAATATTTTTAAATGTGATTTTGAAACTCAAAAGGCAAAGTGATAATGGTTTTTTTTACATTTAAAATTAATAAAAAAATAAAAATTTTAAAAAATATATATTTTTTAAATTAAAAAAAAAACATTTTTAAAATGAAGAAAAGAAACAGCCATTACGTGAATCTCCACGAAGAAGCCCAAAAACGCAGTCTCCCAACAAGGTTCAATTCTCTCCATTCGCTAAAGTTTCAATTTTCAATAATCCAACCAGTTAGATTATATCGCATTCGATTCAAAACCTTACCAAATAGATTCAATTTTGTGTTTTTCTCGATGGGATCTTCGTGTGTGCTCTTCTTTCTAGGTACGATATTTTGATGATTTATTGTTCTTATTTTGTGCTCGGGGGTACGTTATACAAGAGATGGCTTGGTTTAGCGGGAAAGTCTCGTTAGGGAACTTCCCTGATCTAGCAGGGGCGGTAAATAAGCTCAGTGAGAGCGTCAAGAATATCGAGAAGAATTTCGATACTGCACTTGGTTTCGAAGACAAACCCGATTCTAGTACCAGCACTGAAGGTACTTTACCTACTACTACCACTACTTTTTACACGTTATTTATATTATTTTATTACATCTTTCAAGTAAAATGATTTGGCGACATTCGTTTATTAGACAGATTTAAATATCCTAGTTGTTGAAGTTACACCTTGTGGAATGCTTGAGCTCACTACTTTGCAACAATGTTGACCTTAGTGCTCAAGAGCATGGAAGTTAATTGATAATATGTTGTATTGTGCTGAAGTTTAACGAGAAACTAGGGAACAACATGGTTGCATTTTCTGCACCTCTGTTTAAATGCTCTAACTTGTGTGTATTGAGACCAATTTTATTTGGAATCTTCGTTCCTTTTGCTTTCCAGCTTCGGGATTATGGCCAGTTATGTCCTTTATGGGGCATAAAAGCGAGGATAGTACAGTTGAATCTTCAGAGGAAACTGTATCTCCACAGAAATCATCAACTGCTGAGGAGAAAGAGACACAAAATTCTGACACAGAACAAACCACAGCTTTAGAAGAAAATCAAATGCTTGACAGAAAAAAAGATGGCGAGTATCTGCAGATTGCTGAGAAAAAAGATGGTGTCATTTCAGACTCTGGCAAAGCTGAACTCGATCCCAAATTGCAATCAGAACCTAAGGCTGTCGAACCTCCTGAGCCAGTTGTCCATGATGTTAAAATACCAGATTCAGCTGATGAATTACAGGGGAAAGAGATTTCAGAGGTAGGGCCTACTGAAAATTCAGAAACATTGGAGATCAAGTCAGAAGCATCCAGGGTTGATGAAGTCGAGGCTGCTTCCATCTTACATAGTGAGTCACATAATGTGTTTCATGTCAAGAGCATAGATGAACAAGAGACACATGCTGAGGAGACTGTAGAACAAAGTTCTATTCAAGCTGAGGCATCAAGTGATATGCAAGCTGAGGCATCGGATGATGTGCAAATTGAGGCATCAACTGATATCCTAGCTGAGGCATCAAGTGATACCCGAGCCGAGGCTTCAAGTGATACCCTTCATCCGGTTCACGGCCAATAATTAGTGCTGAAGTGAGTGACATGGCCCGTGAACTCTCCCTGTCCACTGCATCTCCCTCAGATGAGGCTTCAGAAATGGTTTCTGGATCAGTTTCTAAGGTAGACGATGGCAATGATCAGACAGTAGGAGGAGACGAGGGAGTCAATTATGGCGAAGTTGGCAGTAAAGAGCAATGCCTGAGCTCAGGGTTGAATATATCAGACTCTATAGATTCCATGCTTGAACTAGAGAAGGTGAAGACTGAGATTAAAATGATGGAAACTGCATTACAAAGTGCTGCAAGGCAAGCTCAGGTATTACTACATGGCACAGATATATCATGCTGGGAAAAAAAGTCTGCAAACTGAGCCCCATTGATGCATCGCTACTCTTATTTTCAAAATTGGACTGCATTATATGTTTATGCTGGGCAAAAAATTCAATTTTGGTCTTTACTGAGCTTTTTACAGTATACATACCACAATCAAAATACACTGGAACTTCTTTTCTCATTTTTTTAGAATATTTCACTAGTCGATTCAACATTCTTACCTTCGTAATAGCCCTATAATTTATAGTGGATAGCAAGATCCTCTCTAGTTTTTTATTACATCGTTTTTTGTTTGAAAGTGTAGTTATTATTATTTTTTAAAAATTATTTTTAAAATCATTTGAAAATATTGAAACATATTAATTTAAAATAATTTTTTTTTCAAAATCACTTTAAAACGCAGTGCCAAACGCCTTTGTCCAACCTCTGTGTTGCTTTATTTTTTTTTATTTTTTAATGATATTTTAGCATGTTTTCTTTCTCCTGTCCGCATAACACTTGTTCGTGATGGACTAAAATCACTGTGATTTGTGAGTGTCAAATCTGATGCTCTTGCTTCACATTTCATTAAAGTTTTGTCCTCTCATGTTTCTCAAATTATGGTTGTTCTGGCATAGTGAATCAACCCAACCCTCAAGGCATATCACCTTCACCTTTCTGCTCATCAAGGGCTACATTAGTACCTTTACAATGATGATGGTTGCTTGTGCTTCTCTTCTTTTGTTAAGAAGACTATTTAAATTTTGAACAACTGAACTTTTGATGAACAAAATTCATAATTTTTAGTGCTAGTTGTCTAAACTAAAATGTGTTGTAATTCTGTTTTGAGTTTTTATGTTAAACTAAAATCCAACTCTGATGTTCTTCTTCCAGGCAAAGGCTGATGAGATCGCGAAGTTGATGAATGAAAATGAGCACCTGAAAGTTGTTATTGGGGAATTGAAGGTCTGTATAAATTTTAACTATTTCTACATTCAAGCTAATTTGGTTGAGGTACTTTGTGCATATGTGTGCATTAAGTTAAAATGGTTATTTTTTGTACCTTTTTAAAGAAAATCTGGTTTGTGCTAATTACATTTTATCTGGATAGTTCAATTAGTTTGTGTTGCAAAGGTTGTTCTTATATTTTCTACGTGGGTTGTATTTTTTTTTATCTTAAAATAATTCTTATTGTCTTTTTGATTGCTATTTTGATAGTATTTTTTTTTTTGACGATGATGTTGTATATTTACCTAAAGCACCTATATGTGTAAGCCATTATCGTAATTTTATGCTTCTAGCTGTAAAACATCCCTTGTTTGGCAAACTTTATATTATAATAAGTACTATAACATCGGCACTTGCTCTTTAGTCCTTAATTTGACTCAAAAAATTGATTGTCGTGTGCATGTTAACTTGCATGAGTTGGGTTTTATCAAAAAATAATTTGCCATTTTTTTGTTTGTATGTGTTCACTTACAACATCTTCATCTCATCTACTCTCCTCTATTCTGTTTTGATCTCTGGTTCCACTTGTTTTTACAAATATTACTATTGGTTGATAGGATAATGATTTCACTTTACTTTCTTTATAGCCTGAATATGATGTTTTTATCGCCGAATTTTATGGAACAGAGAAAAACCAATGATGCAGAAATCGAGTCTTTGAGAGAGGAATACCATCAAAGGGTTTCAACTCTTGAAAGAAAGGTATGCTCCTAAAATTTGAAAATTATGACATGCCTTTTCTTTTACACACACACGCTCACCCTCTTTCTGCAATTTCTTAACAAAAGAGAATGATTAGTTATTGGTTGTGGAGAATGAGATTAATTGAGGTATACGTAACAACTAAGATGTCATGCTTTGATACTTAGCGACCATATATTGATCAGCACATGAATACTGTCTACAGTATATATCTAGCTTAGCTGGCAAAGTCACTTGGATGGTACCAAGTGACGTGGGTTCAAATCCCGCTCACAGCAGGGAGGGGAGGGATTGAGGGAAGGAGAGGCTATCCCATGTTGTGTTGCATAAAGCCCAATTGGCCTCCTAATGAACCTGATGAAAAATGTTTACTGTTAGATATTCCATATAATCCCAGAAAGGTGCAATTTTATGATATTATTTTTTGTTGGCTCTTCCACTTATTAGATCAAGAAGTTTTGATCATTTATCTGCAATACCTTTCATTTTGATATGGGCAACACACATGTTCACATGCTGCACTATTATAGCTACTAGATTCCAAAGTAATTTCTTACATCCTCTATTTCTTGAGATAAGTGGAAGAGGCTTTTGCTGTTTTGGAATCGGTGGGTGTCCCTGGATTGGGTGGGGGATTTGTTGATGATACATTTAGTGGGTTTTGGTAGGAGGAAGGACAAAATGTTTTATGCTTGTACAGTGTTTGCTATGATTTGGAATATTTGGTTCCAGAATTTTAAGAACTCTCCTTTTAATGCAACTTTTGTGAGTTTTGCTGGCTTCTTAACAGCATTTTGCTTCACAATCTCGTAAAAGAGTCTCTATGGATCATATTCAGCCGGCTGAAGTTGCATCTTGTCTAGTTTTGTTTTTAATTTTGTTTCCTATTCTTTGTACCATATTATGGAGGATAGCTTATACTCCTTTTTTTTTTTTTTCTGGGATTCAAACTCAAAATAATATATCCATTATTTACCAAACAGAAATGGTTTAAATTGAGAATACAGGTGATATTTAAAAGCCTGAAAGTTTTGGATAGTACTAATGCCTCTTGGTAGGCTAGTATGTTGTGCTAGCGTGACAGATTTGCAACTTACATGCTGAGTTTCAGCCTGATGAGATTTTCTGTGCCTTTAAAGTTGATTTTATTTTTTTTGCTTCTTCGATGGCAATTAATCATATTGCCTTAAATTTCGTACTGTTGAGATTAATATTGTCTTGGAACGTTTGGTTACAGGTTTATGCTCTTACAAAGGAAAGGGATACACTTAGGAGAGAGCAGAACAAAAAAAGCGATGCTGCTGCTCTTCTGAAGGAAAAGGATGAAATTATTAACCAGGTTACGGCTGAAGGTAGAGCCACACTAACATTTATATTCCATGTTTAATGAATGGTTCTGCATATTCCAATTCTTTCATAGGAAAAGATACTATAATTTCTCTCACTCCATGATTTTTTGCATGTTGAACAGCTTTGCAGTATGAGGGTTTGAGGGTTTGTAGGACTAGTGAGGATTAAGGTTTTGAGACATAACTACTTGATTTATCATTTTTAATAGTTTTGTATGGTAGGAAACAATTTGGTGGAGTTTGCAGAGCAATGGGGTTTTTGTTTCACGTCCTCTTCTTATTTGAAGATTTTCCCTTTGAATTCTAGGTGAAGAGCTTTCAAAAAAGCAGGCTGCTTAAGAATCTACTATTAGAAAATTAAGAGCTCAGGTATCTAGCAGGCTTACTGATTATCTGAACTTTGAAGTTTCAATATCTAATCCCAATACTCTTGTCTTTCTGATCTAAGGAATGTTTTGCATGTATCTTCACTTTTTGTGAAAGTCTAGAGTAGAGAGCTTGAAGAAGAAAAGAAAGGTTTGATGACCAAAGTTCAGGTAATTTGATTCTAAACTGTGATGTAGTGGCGTAATATTATCATGATATTTTGGCTATTATGTTAACATTGAATTCAGGATGACATAGAACAATTATTCCAGGGGTTATGGACCATACTGACAAGGTCAAGTCTCAAAAGAAGTCTGCAAAGAAACCTGAAAACATCTTATATAAAGCCTAGAATTAATATTTTTTTGTTTTAATTATTTTTCTAGTTAATTTTGAATTTTAATTATTTTTTTCCTACACAACTTAGGATTTATAATTTAGTTAGTATTTACTATTTAAGAATCCTAATGCTAGATGGATTCTATTAAGTAGGAAACTTGATGGAGGTCATGGGACCTTGTTAGATCAAAGCCAAACTACGATAAATTGAGAGACAAAAAATCAATCATCATGATTGAATGTCAGTATGAGCAAGAACCTTTTGATGATGAGGATGCTCTATGTGAACCTAATGGAGATGATGAAAAAGACTAATATTATGATGGTGGTGGTGGTGATCTTGCAAACAAGGATATAACGGACTTAGTAATTTATAACAAGTTTTCTGGAGATATTATTGAAGATTATTTTGGGATAATTTAGAAGTTGAAGTATTGGAGGACATAGATGATGTTGAACTCGAGTTTGAAGTAAAAAAATATGGGAAGGAATTACAAGTGGACTTCATACGAACAAAAAAAAATAACATCAGATATTTTTAGGAAACTTGGAGGTCATGAGACCTTGTTAGATCAAGCCAAACTATCATAACTCGAGAGATAAAAATCAATTAACATGATTGAATGTTAGTATGAGCAAGAACCTTTTGATGACGAGGATGTTTTATGCAAACCTGATGGAGATGATGATGAAGATTTTTATGATGATGATCTTGCAAATAAAGACATGAAAGACCTAGTAAATTATGACAAGTCTTCTGGATATATTATTGAAGATTATTTTGAGATTTCTTTAAACACAGTGGTTGAAGTATTAAGGACATAGATGATAAACTCGAGTTTGAAGTAAAAATATGCGGGAAAGAATTACAAGTGGATTTTATATGAATAGAAAAAATAACATCAGATATTGATTTTTCCTTACTATACATGCACTATAAATTAAATTTTAAAGTTCACATGTTA